TAGGCACCATGTTAAATGCTGGGGATGAAATACAAAAAATGGGGTTTGCCCTCAAGGAGCTTACATTCTAACAGAAGATAATATATGGGGAATTGTGTATAGGGAGGGGTGTTTCAGACTGAGAAGTCACTGGGATAGTGAGTGGAGTAAAGGGGAATTGATGGTGTGCCCTTTTCAGGAATGGTAGTGTCAATTTGATCTTGCCCTAGATCACTCAGTGGTTGAGCTAAAACTAGAAACCAGTTTTCCTGCCTTTCAGTTCAGTATTCTGCTAAGTTCATCCTGACTGAGTCCAAGCTTACACTGAGCATTTAAGAAAGAATTTTCTCTGGAATTTAGTAAGCTGGGTAATTGCCTTCTGAACCATAAGAGAAACAAGCCCATATAGATTTGGGGCTGCCAGGGAGTTACTGTTTCCAATTTGGCTTCTCCTGTGAAAGGATGGCTGGAGAATGATTTTAATGAAAAAGTTCAACCAAGAGTACTAGAAAGTGCAGATCCCTGGGGCAGGAAACCTACAAAAGTAAAAAAGCAAACAGCAGGAAAAGGAAGGGCAGCAGTGAAAGGCCACTAAAAGAAAGATGGTGCACCACTGACCTTCTAGAGACTTTCCACTAAGCTCATGGAACTTGAGGATAGTTAAAAACGACCTCCAAAGAGAGGACGGTATGGAAGAGGCACCACTGATCCCTGCAATGGGAGCCACAAAACAGAGGAGCAGCCAGTAATTTAAATGAAGTAACACTTTTTTCCTTGGCCCTCATTAAAGAAAATAAATCACTAAATTAAAGGGTTCAACTGCTGCTGGGAAACCACACCAGAAAGGAAAATACCTGCATGACTCAAATGCCCTAGGCACTTGAGGAAGTTATATATTTACCCAGAACCTTTGGCTCTTAGAAGCCCAGAGCACTTTTCATTACCTCAAGAACTCTGAGAGCATTCCTTAAAGAAGTGACCTGCATACACTAGGGTCCTGCAGCTTTTTCTCCTGCTCCAGCTTTGTACTTGAAATTATAATTAGCTGGTTTCTGCTAAAGTAAAACAACTCAATTAGCCTCCCTCCACATAACCCCTAGTCCCAAAACGCATTGATATGGGATTCTCTCCTTAGTGGTAGAGATCTCTCCAATTCTGGCCTGTCTACCCTTCTGGCAGACCCGGGCTTTGATTTCCACCAATTGGGAGAGAGGTCCATACCAATGGACTTTGGGACTGGGGGGTTATATCCATCTATAGATTGCTAAGACAGAAAAAGAATACCTTATAGGCACCTTAAAAGTTTCCCAAGTTTCAAAACAAGCCTAAGAGGGAGAAACCTTGGAGTAGTGCGCAGACAACTGGCCTAGAGAAAGGAAGAACCTGGCAATGTTCAGAGCCTGCCTTTTACTCTACACATAGGTAGCTTGTGACCTTGAACAAGCCTCTAAGATGAATCATCTGCATTAGTTGAGAGATTTTCCTTCTCAGGAGTTCCCTTTATTAATGAAATTACAGGGTCTGGTCTGCAACATTAAATATGGTATAATTGTTTGTATAATATAAATGTTGGTAGCAGAGTGGAGAGAGCACTGGGCTTAGAGTCAGGGAGACCCTTCTTCCTGAATTCAAATCTGGCCTCAGACACTTACTAGCTGTGTGACCCTAGGGAAGTCACTTAACCCTGTTTGCCTCATTTTCCTCATCTGTAAACTACTAGGGCTTGGACTAGATAAATTCAAAAAATGCCTTCCAGTCTTAAATCTTTGATTCTAATAGCATTCACTTGGACATAGCTTGCAAGACATCTTCACTTGTATTGGGGTCAGTTGCTGGGAATCAAAGGAGCTTTCCAGAAGTAGACTGAGACAGTCACCCCTGTCTCACATGATGAAGTGGCCTTCCTCTCACCAAGGGTAACTCCTCTCCTTGCTCAAGCAATACCATTCCATCCAATCTCCTCCAACAGATGGCCCCCTCTGTCATCCCCTTTTTATCACTTATTTTGAATCTCTCCCTGTATATTGGCATATTCCCCGCTGCCTGCAAACATGCCACCCTCATCCTGAAAAAAAAAACCTTCACTTGATCCTTCCATCCTCCTATCATCCCATATCTCTTCTACCCTGTGTAGTTCAACTTCTGGAAAGCAGTACAGGAGGGGAAGGGAGGGAAAGGATACAACATGGAGTGTCACCACAGTCTCTGGCACCCATGTTCTTTGGGTCAGGACATGAGCATGGTTGATGAACTGGGAAATTAGGTGTTTGAGTGCATGTTCATATGCATTGTATAAATGGCAAGACATTTCTGGCATTTAATGTCTACATATGCAAAACATAGGCAATCCAATTGATATCACATTGGCAATTATGATCTGATATTGATTATATTCCTTAAACAAGTGTTGACAAGTACCCTTGCCTTGTGTACAGCAGGCCCTTTGACAACTCACAAAGGATGTTTAAGTCATTGTTAGTCACACATTTGAGTTATATCTTTAGCCTTGTCCTTTGAAAGGGATAACAAACACACTACTAAGAGAGAGAGTAGAGAAGGGAGAGGGAGAGAGAATAGAATAGAATAGAATAGATATACAGATAACAGAAAGGCTACAGAAATCAGACTTAGTTCCCTGGAACAGAAGCCTATACATGTTACACGTTTCCCTTTTGGGGAACTTAAATGGCCTCAGGAGAGAAGAATGAATAGTTCTTAGGAGAAAAGGAACCACAAGGCCACAGAACTGACAGTGACTGGAGGAAGTGAAAGAACAACATCAAGTTTCTGACCAAACAGAGGAGCTCTATGACCAGAGCCAAAGGGAAACGAGGGACAAAGCCATGACGTAAAGAAGAAAAACCAGTCTTTGCTGTCCCGCACTACTGTGAATTATGTGCACTATGTCCATAGTGGAGGAAAGGAGTCGATTCTTTATTATTCCTAATCTCTTGGAGGATCCTGTCCCTGGGCTAGTTCTATTTGTCTGGAAGATTGCCCGGGAGAGATGGGGTTCACCAGAGAAAGGAGAGTTGTACTGACTATTTGTAAGCCTAGGTAGGAGTCCTTTCTAGTTTCTGACTGGTGAAATATGAAATAAAGCCTTTCGCTGTTAGCCTGAAAGCTAGATGTGAGCTATTATTTGATGTTTATCTATGTATCTCTCCCTCATGACCACCGCCTCCTCAATACATTCTTTGAGGGCAGGGACGTATTTTTTTTCTTTGCAACTCCACAGCCTGCACCACGATGCTTGTTGAAATGAATTGAATACTAGAATTTCAGGGCCAGTGTCAGAAAAATGTTTGGGTACTGACCTCATTCCTATCCAAGTAGATGAGAGATGTAGTAGTTGGGACAGTTCCAAAGCAGATTTGCTATTTGCAGATGGTATTTCTAACATTCTTTGACAGGTTTCATTGTCGTACTATCAACTGATGGAAAATTTAAATCTTTAAGTCTTGGAGCTGGTGGAAGTTACAAGGAGACAAATTTGGGTTAAATGTGAAGCTAAACCTCTAAGCTACTAGAATTAATCCACAGTAGAATGAATTGCCTTGCTATGTAGTAGTATCCCCCTCACAAAAACAAGAAAAACTTGGAAGACCATTCTTCAAAGATGTTGTATGGGTGTATGGGGGGAGGGAGGGATTCATTTTTAGTTATGAATTTTACTAAACGGATTCTGATTTCCCTCTCACCTTAGAGACTGGTTTTAAGCAGATTCCTTATTTAGCAGAGAAAAACAGTGGTTTACAGATTCAGAAACAGCCTCTTGGCAAGTCCTAGAGTAAGGATACTGTGCCTCAGATAAAGGTTGTATCCTTTTTTTGGGGGGTGGGGGGCTAGGCAATGAGGTGAAGTGACTTACCCCAAGGTCACATAGCTAATAAGTGTTAAGTGTCTGAGGCTGGATTTGAACTCAGGTCCTCCTGACTCCAGGGCCAGTGCTTTATCCACTGTGCCACGTAGCTGCTCCTTTACCCTTTTATTTTAATGCTCCACCAAGAATCATGTATATATATGTGTATATATATATATATATATATACACACACATATATATGTACACATATATATATATATGTATGTATACCTGACCTTATTAATGCATTTTTCATAAAATGGGAAAGTATGTGTTTACAGAGCATTTTTATGAAAGGAACTGAAATTGATTTATTGTGTGTACATATGAGGATGATGCAATTTTAATCTTTCGCCTGTTAATGATGCTTCAAGAGTGTGAAGTTTTTTCTTGGTTCCTTATTGACCCTGATATGGCAATTTGAGTGAATAAAGAAAAAAACAAACAGAAAAAAATATTGCAATCTTTAAGCAAGCTTGGAGATTATGAATTAACATTTCAGTGATATAGTCAAGTGAGTTTTGCCTTAGAAAATACACACTGCCAATCACTGGAGCCAGTTTTCAGTAGGTATAATCTTTGCTGTCCGAGGGAATTTAGCCAGGTGCTCTCAAGAATGGCAATTAGCTGATTCTGAGCTTTTAAAATTTAACAGCTGAAAGCCAGTCAACCAGTATGCCTAGACAATTTTGTGTGAATGTTGTCATCAATCAATCTTATTTTAAAGAAGTTGATTTGTCTCTTCCCTGCACCATTGAGTAGTGTTTGTTGTTTTTTTCCTATTAATATCCTGGCCCAACAATACTCAGTAGCCTGAGTGAGGAGAGGGTCTAGCTTTCACTGGGAAAGAAATGCTATTTGGGTAAACCTAATGCTGTTTTCTCCATGGTGTTAACTGACTGACTCTGGGCTGAACTAATGAATTTTTTTCTGAAAAGCTCATGAGGTGAAGTTACTTCCAGAAACTGAGTTCTAGGTGGAGAACATTGCTTGCTACTTATGTCCTAATCTATTTCACACACACACACACACACACACACACACACACACACACACACATCCCACCCCATGATACCCTTCAAAATATTAAAGAAGGAAGGATCTTTGGCTGTTCCCCAGTGGAGGTATAACTTAATGTTGTAAACCTTTTTTAACAGGTGAAAAAAGAACGCAAGCAGATGTCAGCAAGAGAAGTCACCATCAATGTTACCCAAAGCATCCAACAAATGGACAGATATAGAAGAATTCTGAAGAATTGAGTGAATTAGCCGTGTTTTCAAATCAAAGGGAGGATGGACACTAATGTCATTTGGCAGTACTTTGCTGATCTCTCCAGGGAATTTAAAGAAACATGGATGTCCCTAATTGAACAGACTAGATTGCTGAGTGCCTTGGGTTACTTTGCATCTCTTACCTGGCAGCAAAGATCTGCCATCAACGTTGGGACATTCACTGAGCTGTGTGTATCTAATGTGTTGGCAGAATACTCCTACATGACAATAAACTGCTAATGGGACATTTGATTTTTTCCCCCCTCTCTCCAGGCTCTCAAGTGTTCTTCCCCAAGTCTGAGATTTTGGAATTGCAGTGGTCTGCTGAAGCCACAGGCCACTTTTTGAAAAGGAAAATGGCAGGGGAAGGGTGTTACAGTGGGGGAGTTATTACCCAAGAGCAGCCATTGGATAATTCTGGGCCATCACACCAATGGTATTTTTATACCTGTGTTCCAGTACTTTCAGCATTTCCGTTGGCTCCAAAGCTGGCCTTCCTCCAACCTCCAAAGGGAGAAGCCAAGAAGTAGGAAATTATCCATTTTGTTTTTACTGCCTTGCTTCAGCAAGGGGGTAAAGATTCAGATCCATTCTAGATGTCCCCTTCTCCAACAGGGAAGCAGCCAGCCTTTGGTAGGGGGATGGAAGACATTTCCAGTGTCACGACTCCAATACCAAACAAGGCCTATACAATCATTGGCTTTCCACCATTCTCCTACAGGAGGTGCCATATCAGCCCCAAGGAGTAATTGCAGAGTATGAGGCCCACCTACTCATTTTGGATCACTTGGTACAACAGAACTCATCTTTCCTGTTCATTAAGTCTGTATTCTTCCACAGGATCAGAAGAATAGAAAGAACACTGGGTTTGGAGCCAGAGGATCTGCTTCAGATTCCACCTCTAACACATCTTACCTATGTGACCTTGGGCAAGTTATTTCCCTCTCTGAGCCTTAGATTTCTCATCTATAAATGAGAGAGTTGGATGAAATGGCATATATGGTCCCTCCCAGCTCTAAAGTTATGAACATCATCTAGAGCTGGAAAAGACCTTATTGGTCAATCATATCCAACCCACTCACTTTATAGGTAAGGAAACAGAAGACTAGAGATATGAATGACTTGCTCATAATCACACAAGTTAAGAGGGGGAGGGCTTGGATTGGAACTCAGGTCCCCTAACTCTCCACACCCAGCACTCTGTCTCCTGAGAACCCTTGTTCTCAGGACAATTATATGATATCACTAAAAATGACTAATCAAGGTTATTCATCACTCACATAAAGTAAGAAACCAAGGAACATTTCAGTGGCACAAGCTGATTCCCTTCCACCCCTCCCCCACTGCCTTCTAGGTAAATAACATAAAGCAGATCCCAGGGATTATGTCATCTTGGGACCTGGGAAGTAATCATATTAAGAAGTTATTAGAATAATGTGCATTTACTCTTCTTAGAAAGTTTATACAGTTAAAAACAAAACCTTTTGGTAGACAACTATTTTCTAGTTTTTTTTTAGTCCTCTAAAATGATGGAGAAATGTGTATATTTAGCTGAAAGCATTTTTTCCCCACCAATGACATTACATGCTTCCCTAAACTGTGTAACACACCTGGGATCTTCCTAAGGGAGAATAACGGTTCTTTCGTCAGCTGCTGTTTAAATAAACTCAATTTTTAGCTGAACTAGGCAATCTGGTGGTGTGTGTTTATGTAACCTAACCCAGAGAACAAACACATGCAGGTGAAAATGCTGTTAGCCAATTTGCCTGTCATTTCATTGCTCTGGTAGGCCTCCACTGAAGCCAGGTGCACACTGAAGCTACAAACTCCTTTTGCAGTCAGTGTTGAGAAGACTGATTCAGATTCTAGGTATGTAGATCCCAGCACTTCATAAGGTTCCTACCTTCAAGATCAATCAGTACAGTCACTGCCCCTCTCGCCTGACAGGTGAGGAAGCAGAGGCCCAGAAAGGTGAACAACTTGTTGAAGGTCATCCAGTAAAGTCATTTGAGCCAGGATTTGAACCCAGCGCCTCTGATTCCGGATCCAAGGTTCTTCCTACCGTACCACACCACACTGACTTATGGCACAAAATGAACTGGTCTTAGTACTTGTAACTAAATTTCCTATTTAATTAGATCTGTGCCTTAAACTCTAGACTCAGATCTTGTCTTCATCAACTACACAAACCCTTAGATAACCTCAATTTAATGAATATTGTTAAGTGCCTACTATGTTCACACTCCTGTGACATGCAGTGTGAAATGCCAAGCTTAGATTGGGTGATGTCTCTTCCCCCCCCCAAAGCTTAATGTCTGGTATAGGAGACATTATATATATGCACATATATACACATACATACACACATGTGTATATATACATGTACACATACATATACACACAGATAGATAAAACACATGATAAATGTATAGAAGAGGTTAAAAAGTACTACATGAAGTCCTGATGGGGTAAGCTGAAGGTCATTACTATTTGAGAGTAGAAAGCCTTCAGGAAAAGCTTCCTGAAGGGTGTTGTACTTCTGTTTGGTTCCCCAAAATCCTTCTTCCATCTTCCTCTTTTACTCTCCTTTTTCACTTTAGTCTGTCATAAAGGCATGGCTCTTTTCCACTCCTATAACTGTGCCTTGCCAGTTTCTTCCAGGAGCTTGCCTTTCCAATCAGTCCCTCTCATTCTCTCCTCATCTAGCGGTTCTTTCCCTGCTGCCAACAAACATGTCCAGGTCTACATTTGTACTTTCAAAAATTTGGAAGCACAGTTACAAATTTTGACCCTGCATCCCTTTCACAGACAAATTCCTAGAAAAAGTAATTTATTCTCTTGCCTTCGCTTTTCACTTCTTCACCTCCCAAACACTTTTCAGCCCCTTGCCATCTGGTTTCTAACCCCAAGACTTGACAAAACTGTTCTCTCTAAGCTTGCTAATGATATTTTAGCTATTAAATCTGACCACCTTTTGTAATAAACTTTATTGACTTGTCTTCAGATTTTGACACTGGGAAACATAACTGCCTCTAAGAGACTGTTTCCACCAACTGTGAGACTGTTTTCCTGGTACTCCTACCAACCTGAATGTTTTTCAGTCTCCTTTGCTTTTTTTAATCCTTGAGGTCAGCATCTATTGTTCATTTTATTTTTGTATCCCTACCGCAGTGCCTTACACATATATTAGGTGTATAATAATTGTAGGATTGGATTGAGTTATCATATATCACCTGCCCCATAACTGTAAATCCCCCCAATGCTCTGTCCTAGACCCTATTCTCTCTCTAAAACCTCTTTCTTGGTGATCTGATTAGCAACTATGCATTCAGTGATCATCTCTTCACAAATGACTCTAAAATCTACATATATAGACTTCTTCCCTCCTTCAACTTCCTGCTAGACAGCTCCACTTGGAAATCCCATGGGTTTCTTGAACTCAACATATCCAAAAGGGAATTCATCTTTTACCCCAGCACTAGTTTGGCAGATCCTTTGCCTATTACCCAGTTCTGCATTGCAGATCCAGGGTGGAAAGGAGTGGTTGTGGTCACAAAGAAATAGGAGTCCTACTTGGGTATGGATTGTAGTTCTAAGGCAGAGAGGAACAGTTGTTGTTGTGAGGGTGCAGGGGCCTCACCTGGGAAAGCACTAAAGTGAAGACCAGTAGGACAGTGACCAGACCTCTTCCCAGATCACACAACTTTGGAAACACTGAAAACTTACAGGTCTACAGACATAGATAGCTATGAAAGCTGCAGAAGGATATATAGAGATAAGTATAGGCCATCCCCTGCCAGAGATGTAAGGAACCCCACTCTAACATAAAATCCAAAGTCAATAAATAGACTGGAAAAATGAACAAACAACAACAAAAAAGAACCTGATCATAAAAATCTACTATGGTGACAGGAAAATTCAACACACAAACTCAGAAGAAGATCATGACCTGAAAATATCTACATGCAAAGTTTCAAAGAAAAATGCATATTGGACACAAGCACAACAAGAAATCCCAGAAGGGCTAAAGAAAGAGATTTTTTAAAAGAGAGTGGGAAATTATTTTTTTTAAAATCAAATAAGAGCTAGAGAGAAAAAATTGGGAAAAAGAAATGAAAACAATGCAATAAAATTATGAAAAGAATATTAATAGTTTGGTAAAAGAGGCACAAAAATACTAAAGAAAATAGCTCCTTAAAAATCAGAACTGGCCAAATCATAAAAGAGGAACAAAAATTACTGAAGAAAACTCCTTCAAATTGGCCAATTGGTAAAAGAGGTACAAAACCTCAATAACTTTTTAAAAATTAGAATTGGTCAAGTGGAATCTAATGACTCCATGAAACATCAAGAAACAGTCAAGTCAAAAGACTGGAAAAAATAGAAGAAAATGTGAAATATCTCAAAGGAAAAACAACTGACTTGGAAAATAGATTGAGGAGAGATAATTTAAGAATTATTGGACTACCTGAAAGCCATGATAACAAAAAAGAGCCTAGTGTTCATATTTCAAAAAATTATAAAGGAAAACTGCCCAGGTATCTTAGAACCAGAGAGCAAAGTAGAAATTGAAAGAATCCACCAATTATCTCCTGAAATAGATCCCAAAATGAAAACTCCTAGGAATATTATGGCCAAATTTGAGAGCTGTGAGGTAAAGAAAAATTACTGAAATTAGCCATAAAGAAATCATTCAAATATTGTGGAACCATACTCAGGATCACACAAGATTTAGTAATTGCCACTAGAAGGGAGAGGAGGGCTTAGAATATGATATTTTGGAAGGTAAAGGTGCTATGGTTACAACTAAGAGTAACCTATCCAGCAAAAATGAGTAAAGTACTACATGGAGTCGGGAGAGTGGATGGGCATTCAATTAAATAGAGACCTTCCAAGCATTCTTGTTGAAAAGACCAGAGCTGAATAGAAAATCTGACATTCAAACACAAGACTCAAGAGAAGAATAAAAAAGGTAAACAAGAGTGAGAAATCATAAGGAACTTAATAAGGTTAAACTGTTTACATTCCCAAATGAGAAGATGATACATGTTAACCACTAAGAGCTTAATCATCATTGGGGTAGTTAGAAGGAATCTACTTAGAGGGCATAGGTATGAGTTGGGATAATCTCAAAAGAAAAATGGAAGGGTGAAAAAGAGGGATATACTGGGAGAAAGGGGGAGGAAAAGGAAGAACTGGAAAAACTATTTCATATAAAAGAGGCATGCAAAGAAGAGATGTTACAATGGAGGGGGAAAGGGGGGAGTAGGTAATGCTTGAATTTCATTCTCATCTGAACTGGTTCAAAGAGAGAAGAATATGTATGTGTGTACACATACATACATACACACACACACACAATTGAGCATAGATATTCATCTTAGTCAAAAGGAATGTAGAAGGGGAAGGGGACAAGAGAAGGGAGGGGGACAGTAATAAGAAGGAGGACAGATTAAAGAAGACAATGGTCAGAAGCACAGGCTTTGGAGGAGAAGACAGTGTGAAAAAGAGAAGAATAAATAGAAGAGAATAGGGTGAAGGGAAATACACAGTTAGCAATCATAATTGTGAATGTGAATGAGATAAACTCACCCATAGAATGGAAGCAGATAGCAGAATAGATTAGAAACCAGAATCTAACAATATGTTATTTACAAGAGACATGCTTGAAACAGAAAGACATACATAAGGGATAGAGCAGAATCTATTATGCCTTAACTGAGATAAAAAAACAAAAACAAAAACAAGAAAAGGTTAGCCATCATGATTTCAGACAAAGCAAAAGCAAAGAATAGACCAAATTTAAAAAGATAATCAGAGAAACTACATTTTTCTAAAAGATATAATAGACAATGAAGTAATATCAATATTAAATATATATATGTACCAAATGGCATAGCAACCAAACTCTTGAAGGAAAAGTTAAATGAGTTACAGGACAAAATCA